TATATCCGAAATGATAATAAACAAAATTTCAGATTAATAGACTCCAGATGCCCATATTCGTGGAAGATTACGTTATTCAAAATTTGGTGGTCTAGGTTACCGTTGTTTTCTTACAATGCGTAAAAAAACTACATACATTTATGCAGATTCTCATTATTTAATTCTTAATATAATTTATGAATATTTAATTTCTGAATTTTAAAATATGCACTTGTGGAATTTGCCAGCCATGGAAGAAAGTAATAAAATTTCTGCAGGTGTACAGAACTAATGCAAAGACTCTAAAAGATGGAGTTCAACGGGGAGATTCATTCTAAATTAAATTTTAATAAATGTATTGGAGAGCAGTGTATATAGTACAGTATAGTATTGGAGGTTTTTGGAGAGCCAAAAGTTAAGAAACAGCAAGTTTTCCAAGGCTCATCATTACGAAAATGGCAGTAATGTTTAAATTCACAGTTTGTATGTATGACAGTCATGAGTTTAGGAAATTTGCAAAACGTAGTCCCACTTTATTTTATAGAATGAATACTTATATAGGATGGAAAAAATGCAAATTTTTAATTTGTAAAAGTTTGATTGCAGTTGTTACAGTTTGTAGGAATATCCAGGAGATCTTATCCATGTCAAGAGAAGACGTGTGCCCAATTCATTGAGGGGCAGCAATCAATGGATGGAAATGGGGATGCACACGCTGATGCTGCCTAGACATCGTAGTGTCTTCCGTAATGTGGTCCACGACATGAAATCGACTTGATTCGAGGTTCTGTGAGATAAGACAGTTTCCAAGTACATAGACCCCGTTACGCGGGATACGTGGCATCGAACAGAGCGTATGCGAACGCGCTAGCGAGGCTATCTTACAAGTAATATGGGTGGGGAAGACGTAAAAAAAATGGTTAGCATTAAATTAGATAATTTTTTTTAATAAAAATGAATCAAACATTATTTCTTCCAAAATAAAAACAATATAATGCATATACTTTTAAAAACAAAAAAAAATTCCAGTCAGATATTCATCTATTCTGGATTCCAATTTCTGCCTTTTTGTAGAGGCATTATGATAGATTGCGTATGCATATGCGTTCAATTTCGTCGCATACCATATGACAGTCGTTTTCCATTTCTCTATAGTTATTTTCTAACGGTAATTAGTTGCAGAGCTGACGTAGTGCAGTTGCCGATGACAGTATTTTTCTTTTCGAAGATTGTCTTATGTTGAGTTGCCAAATCAATGCAGCGCTAATTGAGATGCCGTCACAAGAATCTAAATTTCTAATCCTGCATTGAGTTCAGTGAAATGCTTCTGGTGCGTATCTTTTTGTTGTTTATATCACCACTATAAAAACGAAATCAGATATTTGCACTGTATAATCGTTTTAGTATAAAATTTAAACTTACATAATGTCAACAATGTTTCAAATGATAAAATGCATCCACCAGCAGAACACAACACATGTTTCGGTATGTTATTTGGATGCTGCGCACAATTCGAGACTGGTGAAATAAAGAGCGCTAAACGAAACAGCATTAAGCGGGGTCTTACTGTGCACCTAGAGTTACAACACCTGCGGGAGACCGTTATTTAGCTCTTTCAGCCCTAAGGAGAAGTAACATTACAGTGCCCCAGCTTGTGGCAGATCATTTAGTGACAATAGGAACAAGAAACTCAGCTACTACAGTGTGCATACGCCAGCACAATTTAAGTCTGTATGCAAGATGACCAGTTGTTTGTGTCTTCCCCTTGCCCTGAGAACACAGAGGTGCCTGTTTATGTTGGGCAAGAGAAGACATCTTCTGAACAAGTCAACAGTTCTTTTCACAGACGAGTCCAGATTTACATTGGAGCGTGATTCAGGTCGTCAGCTGATCTGAAGGGAACAACCCACCAGATAAAGCCAATTCCACATTGTGGAAAGACACAGAGAGGTGGTTGAATAATGGCTTTGACCGGTGTGAAATGATCCTTGATCAATAAGTCCGTCCATATGCCACTGCTATCGGTCTTGGATTTCTTCTGATGGACGAGAATGTGTAACCACACCAAGCTTGAGTTGATGAAGAATATCTTGAGAGTCATGATATGTAGCGGATGGAATGGCCAACTCAATCCCCAGACCTGAATCTGATAGAGCAACTTTGGGACTACCTCTGGAGACAGGTTGCTGTTTCTTTAAGTCCTTCTCCAAGGTCATTAGATGAGCTTGAACAAGGATTACTTTGTGTTTGGTCATTGCTTCCCATTTCACTGACCAACAATTTAATTGACTGCATGGAACGTCGCTGCTGCCAATGTATTGCAGCTAGAGATGGACACATTCCTTATTAAATCCATTTTTTTTTTTTTTTTAATGTTACCACCCATTTTTCGTAAAAAAACTTTGATATACGGCTTCTCTAAGACTAGATTTCTCTGCCAAGAGTGCAATTTTTTGTTGAAAATCATGTTTGTGTTGAACTTTAGAAACATTCTATGTCACGTTCATTAAAGAAATGTTTAGTGAACATGTCCTGTAAATTTCTTGCTTCTATGTTGCCTCATTCTCAAACTAGACACAAAAAACATGCTGCTCCTTAACTTTTAGAGGACAGTGTATTTTTTAGTTTGGGATTAGAAGGGGAAATGATCATTTACGAATAGTGATAGGGACACATGGGCAAAGAAGGTTGATAAACACTGTTTTAAATGGAATAACAAGGAAATGTGTTTGGTAGATAGCTAGTGTTAAATGTTAGTACAATGTCAAGTCTAAAATTCTCTGATTTTTTTTAAAGCGAAAACAGCTACTCTGTTGTTAGGAAGAGGAATAGCGAAAAAAAAATTACAGAAGGATTTGGAAAAGAATATAAGTGTTTTATTTTTTTAATGTGTTATGGGCTAATCTTCCATAAGTGGGGTAAGTTTATGCTAAACTGTTTTTGATTGTGATGCGAGACTTCACATCGGCATGTCATTTTGCAATTGTTAATTACGAAAAGAAACAACAAAAAAATCTAATATCGCCAAATGAAAATGATGCTAAACACAATACAAGCATAAATTACTACAAACTAAAATATAAATTTAAAATAAACTACAAAAAAATTCAAATCACAAACCTGAAACTAAAAATTACAAAAGTACAAAATTAAATTACTTGAAAAATAATACATACCGAATGTCTCTTCACTCGCATAAAAAAAATATCATGTCTACAAAATAACTACATAATTAAAAATAAAAAGAAACTCTCTATACTTTAAGTACTAAAATATACAAGTTACTGTCGTTGTGGAATTCTACACACTGAACCACTTTCACTTGACACTTTAAACATTCTGCGTCTCTTGGTTGCCACATGCAAGAAATAAAACAACAACAAAATAACTGACCCAAAAAACATTAACTAAATAAAATTAAATGCACGTCATCTGAAATCCAACATTCTCTCACCAACAACAGCTTAAGCTCCTGCAAATATTTTTATTTTATTTATAAAATGTCTGGCCATTGACCATCAGATTATTAGGCAATGAGCTCTCCAATACTTCTTTACAATACAATCCAAACTGTTAAGTGCAGAGCACATGTCCAGATAAGCAACGTCCATGATTTGTCCAAAACACATAAAGGTGAGGAAGTCTGATTAAAACGAAACAAATGAGCACCAAGGCAGTCATGTCCAGTCAATAGTCTAAACTCAGCCATAGCAGTAGCAAGAGGAGAGTCCGAAACACAGTCAGCTTTCAATAGCACCTTCCATGATTTATTTTCAGAAGTACTGAAAGCAACATTATTATGAAAGGATTTCTTATATATCCTATTAATTAAGTTTAGCAGAGACAAAAGATAGGTCTCTGGAAGACCTTTAGAGAATATCCGTACCTTTTTTTGCCAAATTGTCTGCCATGTTATTTCCCCAAAGACTGCAATGTGATGGCACCCACTGGAAAGCAATCTTTGTCTGAACTCTGCCGAACAGCTCCTTGCAGCTCTGAACATTAACACTTTGTTTTTCTAGGTTACTGACTAAGGCCTGAAGAGCAGAACTTGAGTTCGATAACATTACAGCCTTATCAAGAGGAGAGAAACGGGCAGAAAGCTGTTGAAGGGCTAAATGGATAGCCTCGACTTCACCGTCAAAATGGTTTGTATGAGAGCCAACATGTATTTATGTACATGTTGGCTCTCATACAAACCATTTTGGATAGGAAAACAGAAAACAACAACATCAACACCTTGGATGAAATCCAAAAGGGAACCATAAGTGTAGATATCTTTGCAAATATTACGCAGTAAAACTTGAAAAAATAAACACAATATTTCAAAACTAAATTAAAAAAAAAAATCTTCTGGCTATGCTAAACTTGCACTCATTACAATCACCAAAATAAAGCTCCATATTTGCAACAAGAAAACATACTGCCAGAAACCACAACCAAATCGAAATTGCACCAAATAAAAATTTTCACCAAGTTTTACACACACCCTGCTTATGGAAGATTAACTATATTATGTGATCCTTATTTAATAGACAAAATTTGTATTCTAAATTGCTAACGTATATTTCCTTTTTGTATGGTGATAAAATTTGTTGACTTATGATAAATATCAATTCTTTTGGAATCTTTTAAAAATAAAATCTTCTCATCGCCAAATTACATTAATATGTAATTTGGCGTAAGGTGATTACATTAATATGAAAGTACCAGGTACTGTTTAGAATTTATTTTAACTGATATATTTTTACTAATAATCTATAAGTCAAACAGCTATAACATAACAATATTCAGTTCTAATTTTCAATTTTATTCTTGGCATACAGTGTACTGCACTGAAAGTATATGTCTTCATTACTGACTGCTGGACTGAGGGTAGAAGAAATATTTATTCTATTATTTACATTTTCTCTTATCTCTTGCATGATGGTCTGGAAGTTATTGAATAATTGGGGTTCCACTGTATATTTACTAATAAAAAGACAATAATTATTTTAAATATGAAATTTATATTTTTTTAGGTTGCTCAATAGAGAAGGAACTTTGTTAGCATATTCAGGTTATGCTGGTAAAGATGCAAAATTGACTGCAGCGATTACTAGTAATATATGGATGGCTTATGAGAAAAGTGGATGTACTGCATACAGTTCTGAAGCCTTGAAATTCATCATCATTGATTGTGAGGTAGGAGCTCATTAATGTTACTATGTAGGGGGGAGCTCAAGTTACCTGACTAACACAGAAAGAACTTTGGTATCATATTCAGGTTATGTTGGCAAAGGTACAAAATTGACTGCTGCAATTACTAGTAATATAAGATTGGCTCATGAGGTGGATGTATTGCTTGCAGTTTTGAAGCCTTGAAATTCATCATCATTTTTTGTGAGGTAGATCATTGACACTACCAGGTGGGGAAGGCTTAACTCACCGTTATAGCTGAGTGTGATTTTACACTGTAAATAGGTTTCCTATAAAGTGTAAAAGGATAACCGTGTAAAAAACAAAAAATGTGAAAGCATGAAAAATAGATTATTTTCATACATGAATGCTCATTTTTGCTCCATTTGGTCAGATCATTTTTTTATTTTAAGAATATTTAAACTTCATATGCAGAACATAGCAATATGACATAAGGTTTACAGAGGCAAGTTAAAAAAATGCAGTAACATACTAGGAAATAAAAAAGAATAAAGTCGCAAATAAAACATAAGAAATAAATACCTGGAAGGAAGTGAATGCCATTTTCTCTTGAACAAACATATGAGAGGGGAGGAAACTTGATGTTTTAACTGGGAAATGAGTGCTTTTCTTCTCTCTTGAACTGTAGAACAAATTTTGACATTTTGCACTTTCGCAAAGTTACCAGAACACAAGTCTATATGAGATAATCCAAATCTCTTCAGATATGAATTAAAATTACCGTGCCCAGTTAGAAATTTGATAAATTTAAAATTCCAGATAAATTGTTTATTATTAAGTCTGTGAGGAATGGAAGAGAAAAATTAATTTAGTCCGAGAGACAGTAGTAAAATTTCTGTATAATTCATTCATTAATTCTGCTTGTGAATTGTTTTACTCCAACTTTGTTTCTTGAATGATGATTTAAGAAGTGTCATTTTGGTATTAACTTAACCTTCTCGCTGCGTAATTTTTTTATCAAAATAGGTTCAAAAATTGCGTACATTTTTAATTACATATTTCAAATCTACATATATTTTAGAGTTAAAATATAAAATGTTTGTAAGGAGATTTTCAGTACAAATTTGTATCAAAAAAAGGTTTCAAAAATTTAAAACTGAATGTAAATAATTTAAAAGAAAAATTTATACAAGAAATTAAATGTGTTTATTTTCTTAATGCTATTTAAAATGGTTAAAGGATAATTGGTGGTACTATACTAATGAAAATACACAAAATATTCACAAAACATTATTAGAATGAAGCCTAATGTGATAGACTTCAAAACAAGGCTCGAGGCTCCTACCTCACTTTGCACCAAATACAGGTTTCTTTGTGAATTTTTTTGGCCGTTTGTTTTTTTTTTTTTTTAGAACAAACAGCATAATGTCTGCGAGTTTCTTTCTGATGGATTGGGTTATATATCTAGCAATGTCAAGCAGTTTGTTCATGTGTTGTCTCATTGATTAAGTGAAAAATAGAATAGCGCAAGGTGAGAAATATGGACAACTAATGCTTTCTGTTATTGCAGATCTGAATAGATAATTAAACATAACAGAAAAGTCGAAATGAAACTATAAACAGGAAAAGAGCGGGTACCACAGTTAAATAAACGGAAAAAATGCATCCTTGCAGAAAACGTGGGTCGCGCAAATTTTGTTACTTCTAGGTTGCTTGTGGAAATCGCAAGATATGCAGCGAGAGGGTTAAAGGTTTGTTCCTCATTTTGCCAAACAGTCAGCCCTTTCATTTTCTAGATTGCTGATGTGACCACATACACATAAATAAGATAACATCATCATCTTTATTATTAAAATCTTAAAATCTTTAAGAATTTTGGTACTTTTCTGTTTTGGGGACCGACTTCAGAAATGTATGGATGTGTATATATGTACGTATGTATTATTGTTTCATGAAAAAATTGAATTGAATTAAAAAATTTAATTTAAGTAAATTAAACAATTAAAATTTAATTTTTAAAACACGTATAAAAGTAAAAAAGCAAATTAAAGCCATAAAAAAAAATTTTTAAAAAAATTTAAAAAAAGTGTGCAAACATATAAAAAAGATTTATTCGAACTAATCACAATATCATTTAAATTCAGAAGCATAAGCAAATCAAGTGCAAAATCAATCCATGAAATAAATCACTAATTTAGCAAATTAAAATTAACTAAATAATTTTTTTAAAAAGCATAAATGAATGGACCGTTGGTAGGCAGGGAGACAGATTTCAAGGGGAAGTTGCCTCCAAACCTAACTCTCCAATCATTCAATTCGTGTTCGTCATTCAGCAGGCAGGGTAAAAGTCAAAACCAAAAGTAATACCAATAAAGTGGTACCCTTAAATTAACATTTAAGAAATTAAGAATAAAGTTCAAAGGAAAATCCTAAGGAAGTCTTTGAGAACAACAGTAAGTCAAGAATTAAAAAAACTTTTTTTAAAAATTAAATTTTAAAAAAAAAATTAATCCCTATAAAAAAATCTAGAAACCAATGTATTTGAAACCGTCTACAGAAACTCCCCGACACGAATATGCATCAATAAAGAAACTGACTAATCCATATAACCATAAAAACAAAAAGAACTATTCCCAATTTTAAAAACACATATATCAAAATAATTCAATTTTTAGAAATACTTTAATACTACATAAAAATTTTAATAATACTTAAAGCAAGTAAATAGTAGTTTTTAATTCTAAACTTACCTACTACAGTCAAAAGTCGTTAATCCGGACTCGTCGGGACTTCGGCGATTCCGGATTATCGATTTTTCCGGATATAGATCATCAGTTTAAATCTGGTAAGATGGCATGCAAAATACAAAATTAAAATATAAACCGTAATTAGGAAATAAAGAACATTATGACTAAAGGGTATCAAATTAAAAAGAAAAAGCTTAATATTTATTTGTTACTTATTAAACATTTTTCAATGTAAGTGCTTCGTTTCATGTGATAATACTTTTCTCTTTAATTCTATTCAACAGACTTAATTTCTTGTTTATTTACAAGTTCCGCTGTTTAAGTCCTATAATTCTGTGTTGAGAATAAACTAATTTGTTCAATCGAAATGGTTTCGTTTCAATAACCCTGGGTCACTTTCTCACTATGGAAGCGAATTATAATGACGAGGAACTTGATTTAAATCATATCAAAGACGGAGTACATCGAAATGAAATACTACACTTAGTACAGATATAAACCAAATAAAATAAAATCATCTGCCTGAAGATAAGGATAGTGCGACAGATCAACTTCCAATCCGCGGCGTGAAATGATAAACAGATTTCGGATTTCAAAACATACTTTCGCTTTGTAGATACAAATACATATTAGTAAATATATATCGGAAATTTATTTGACATAATCTTTCTAATCTATCATAATCTAATAATGACGTTTCTGCCCCCCCCCCTCTGCCGCAGAGCAGCGTGAAATTGATAAAACGATTTCTTTTCAAAAACATACTTTCGCTTTGTAGTAAATTATATATCGGAAATTCTATTTGATAATCGAAAGTTCAAGCTTACTTTATAAATTGCTCTAACAGTCTGCAAAAAATAATAAGCCGGATCCATTTCGAAGATTAAGGAACAACGCAATCTGCAACATTAACTGAATTAGATAACTTTAGCTTAGCATACCTCCGTTACACATTAAACGCGCATGCGCACAAACATATTCACAGCCGTAAGGGTCTTACGCGCTCTCGTAAACGCCTGTGCGCATGCGTGAACGCGACGCATGCGCAGAAAGTTTGTAGCTTTGAGGTCAAGATTATAGATCATTCCGGATTATGGGTGTCCGAATTAACGACTTTTGACTGTATATGAGTGTTGGGGTCTGCAAAAGTGTTGTAAAAGAGAAGTAAGTGTGTTTGTCAAATTATATAGATGGCGCTTATGTAGGTAAAGTTGAGTGTCAAGCTGCTATCTTTGTTATAGTAAAAAAATTTTTTGTAAACATTAATATTAAAAATTAAAAATCCTAAAGGTAGTAATTAAGTAACTGAGCCAATCAAGAGATGTAAGTTTGCTTGAAGGAAAATAAAGTTAAGTGGTATTGTGAATAAAAAATGTAAACTGTTTGTAATGTGAAATCTGTTGTGTGTTCTGTTGAAAAATTGTGTAAAAATTGTAAAAAAATTGTAAAAAACGTAAAGTGAAAAATTTTTTGTGTGAAAATTGCAAATTGAAGTAATTAAGAAAAACTGAAATATTTTAAAATTAAAGTTTTAAAGTAAAATTTCCCAAAATTTTTGAAAAGAAGTATTAAAAAACCTCTAAAAAAATCTTCAGAAATCTCAAAAATTCCTGAGGAAGTTAATTAAAAGTTATATTTAATGAAAGAAAATATGAAAAGTTTAATGAACTTGATTTCAATTGGTATATCAAAACTTAACTAAATACTGGCTAAAGTATGGAAAATTAGAAGAAGATTAAAATCTTCACTCAATTTGGGCTATAATTGAGACTTTTGAAAAGATTTGGCCCTTTATTAGTAAAAGGAAAGAATCCAGTATTAAATAAATATACATATTTACAAAATATTTACAATAAAAATTTACAAGATAATTTCTCTACTCTTTTATATTCTTCATTACTCTCCAGCTAAGGTTTAAGGTAATGTTATCATATCCAAAAGAGCCAAAAAATTATAAAGTAAAGCTAAGGTCTGCCTTTTTAATATATAAATTAATAAATTTTGGTGGTACTTGGTTATCAACTTGAACATTGTAATTACATTGTAACATTGTAATTAGCTTTATTATTTCTTCCTTTAAATCGTCTATTTCAGTACATATATTTTTATTCTGATTATTTGGCTATGAAACATGTTTTCTATTACTTTTCTAGAGATATTAAAGTTCCAATTAATTAGTTTAATAGTATGAAATTGGAAATTCCTTCTTTTATCAAATAATTTAATTTTGCTGTGTTTAATAATTTGTAGGTCTATGAATTCAATAGTATCTTGATTCGTATTCGTTTTATTAAGTGT